AAAATTGATGTTTGACAACAACAATGGACATTTTGGACATTATACTACTTATTCCCTTTAAATTCCCATGTATACCAAACATTGGAATTGAAATTTCCAGTAATTTTATTCTTGTAAACCAAACACTGGAATTTCAATTCCCACTTTATTCTCAGTAATTCATCTCCCATAGAATTGCAATTTCTTTCCCACATAATTTCCTCCCTACAACCAAACGCCCCGTTAGAGTTGAGAAAGTAGGGGATGAGGTATTTGTTTGATGTGGGCATATTGCATTAGTAGTTAGATAGGTGATTGGGAGGCTTCCGTTTCATGTGAGAGCGTCACATGTTGTGTGGTGAGGGAGTATGTTGTGGTTCCGTGACTCCGTGAGGATGGGGAATTAATGTAAGTAGCAGATTAGCAGTTAAAACACAATTGAAAGTTGTTTTTTTTAGTGTGAGTTTTAGTGAGTATCGTCCTTAAAGAAAGGCTTTAAGGGAATTAAAGTAATGAGGGGTTAAACACATGTTCATACAGTGTTTGAAAGCTAACCAATAGATATTTGAATATTGCATGTTCAAACAATCTATAATAATGAAAACAAGTGAATTAAAAGATAATAGATGAAAGAGAGGGATTTGAACCAAACAACCTTGCATAGAATACATTGTGTGGTCTAAAGTTTAAGTTATGAAATTCCTAATGACAAACTTGGGGAAATTGTATAAGTGCCAACATCACTCTCGCGATCAATTAGACTATCAACTAATCCGAAGTCCCATTCTCATGGCAACTTGGCTAGATGAGGCAATTCAACAAACACTTTGCGTGCTCATTTCCTTCAAACTCCCTTTTCTCAAAGGAAAGTAAGAGATATGACAGATATGGCTATGGTGTAACCCTATTCTCATAGGTGATTCACTAATTCCAAATGCCTCTTGCATAATTTGGCCATAACTATGAAAGAGTACACTCAATTTCATCCAATTCATAACCAAGTTCAACATGAAGGCAATACAAAACCTAATTTATGCAATTCAAGTCACATTGGCATACATACAATGAAGTTCAATTCAAATCTCTAAATATGTTTAACTATTCATAATTGAAATGTAAAACTAGAAGCAATTGAAGTAATAAACATGGAATTCAAAAGTTCAAGTAATATAAATTCAAAAATATAAAATGAAGAACTTAACTTGATGATTAAAGTGAAAGAAATAATCTGAAAGTTGATGGGGAATGTGAAATTACAATGAACAATCTTCCTCTAAATCTTCTAGTAGATGATGGATTACAATGTGGAAATGTTCTCAAATGTGTTTGTGTAGAGAAGTTTTTAGAGGGAGAATTCTGAAAAATGAAAAACTAACTATAAAATAACTACTAAAATCTATATATATCTTAGAGTTCGCGCCAAATTGCAGTGTACTAGACGAGAAGTCATGGTGGGACTCACGATGAGTCTCAATGATCAGATTCTGATCATTGAGACTCATGCTGGCTCTCACGGTGTAATGTCAGTATGAGTTCAGTGATCAGAATCTGACTAGCACACTCATGCTTAGACTCACACCGTGAGTCTCGGCATGAGTCTCTTGATCAGAAACTCAACCACGGACTCATGCTGGCACTCACACCCGTGAGTGTCAACATGAGTCCCTCCAAATGGCCTTCACGCTATCATTTTGCTCATTCGTTCCCCGGTGTGCCTTCGGGTGCTTTCCTTGTCCTTTTACACCTCGTTTTTCCCAAGATTAGCATCATTTCATACTTGCTTGCACCATTACTCAATCTTTTCTTCCTTCAATCAAGATACACCAAATTTGTATTGTTGTACCATCATTTACACATTTGAGCCAAAAGCAAGCATAAATGAGCACAAATACAAGGCTATTTCATGGTATATCAACAATCACCCCAAAACTGAACGTGTAGGCCCCTTGAAAACACAAACCACATGCCATATTAAAGAAGTGGTGGTGCTTGCGTTTGACAATCCCATTTTGTTGAGGCATATATGGCAGGATAACTAAATTATTGTAAGATACCATTTTGAAGTAAGATGTTTTGAAAATCTGTTTGTGTAAACTCATAACCATTGTCAAAACGAAAAATGTTAACGAATGAATTAATTGATTTTAACATATGATTTTTTTTTTTAAAAAAAAGAACAAGTAGTAAGAAAATATCAAACTTATACTTTATCAAAAAAATTTATATGACCCTAAGAAAATTATCAATGATAGTTAAGAAATCATAATGTCTTGTATGAGTGAGGTTGAAATATTTAACCCAAATATTAACATGAATCAAATCAAAACATGTAACAGTCAAAGTACGACTAGTACGATTAATCTCGACTAGTACGATTAATATAAAAAGATAAATGTGTCTATTTGAAAACATGAAAAACATCACATGCAATTGGAAATCAAAACATCCTATTGCAGGAATTAAATGTTTAAAAACATAATGTGATGATGCATAGGTGACCAAATCTTGAGTGCCATGTATTAGGTGCGACCGTGAGTAATGCAGTGGAGTGTGGTGAAATATTAAAGGAACATAAGCCATTGCGTTCATAGCCCCACTCAATCTCCACAAAATAATATATTGATATTTGATGGTTTAAACAAAGAAACATAAATGGTTTATGCAAGAGATTTAATTAATGGTAAAAAGAAATAGAAAAAGTATGTTTTTTTTTTTTTTTTGGGTATTACCAGAGTTTTCACTGTCAGACACAATGACTAATTCTCTCACTGGATTGTAGGCACATCTTTTGAATGAAATAACTAACTTGGAGATTTAAAAAAAAAATATGTATCTAAAGTAGAATGCTAATAGCATCAAAAGAATATGATTAAATATGTATAAAAGAGATTAGATATGAATGTTGTTTCTATGTCTGACTGTAATGAATGTTTAACCATTCCGTCCATTTTTATTATAAACGTTTTAGCTTATGATTAATGAATTAGCTTCCAAATTTTCAGCAATTAGTGTGGCATGCTAGATATTAGTTTTTATTCGCATGTTTTGATGGGTAGCAGATTCCAATTAGTGTGTTGATTCTTGGTGGGCTTCCAACATGCTTTTATTGACTGCAAATTCTATGTTGCCAATAGTCATCACTGGACAGCTTCCAATATTTTAAGTAGTCTTAAAATATTGGACGGAAACACTATTTTATTTCGAACTCATACTATATGTATTTCCGATCTCAAAGCCACTCACTTGTAATGAAATTTATTATCATTCGCTAAGAAATAACTGATATCAATAATTAGATATGTGCTTCAATACACTTTGTATGAATTACCTATTAACCTTTTTTTGATTTGAATCAATTAAATAACATATACTAATTTATTTATAACTTTAATTTCTTAGTAAATCAAAGTATGCACTCCACTGCACTGCAATTTGAGCCTTGAGGGCAACCTTAGCCAAGTTGGTCAGAGTATTTACTTGATAATTACAAAGTTATAAGTTTGACTTACAACGAGAGTGACCTATTGACCTTTTTGGTTTGAATCGGCCAACTATAAACAACCTGAATTAATTTATCTCCTTGTAATTCTTAAGGCATGATTTACCCAGTACACACTCTTAGATTGTGCCTGCATTTTTAGAATTTTTGTCTAACCAATTAGGAGAGAAAAAAAAAAACTTCTTTTTTCTTTTACAAAAAAGGCCTTTTTACACGTCGCACCATGCTGGGCAGGACAGTGTGCAAAACATGTAATCTACACGAAAAATACTTTGTGTACTCTCATTTTAAACTCCCAACTTGTACCCCCTCTCACATGCTCTTGATGTAGACATTTTTCTGTGGACCCACATAATGAAAATAACCAATCCTGATTTGCCATCTCAGAGTAGAATTTTGGGAGTCTATGTAGTAGAACTCAGATGGCACATCATTTGCCTTTTCACTGGACCACAAAATATTTTGATTTGGAAGAAAAAATTTATAAAACCCCATTCTCATCAATACACAAATCTTATTCTAATTTTTTCTTCTACAAAAAATCTCATAAAATTCACTAATGCTGATCCCCTTGCAATTTCAATATTGGCAACTATATAATACTCACGTCGTATCATTTTTTTTTTTGGAAAAGCGGGAAGGGAAAATCCCGTGACCTAGCAACACCCACTCCGTATCATTTGATAAAATAGCACTCCGTATATGGCAAATTATATCGTGCACCTAGTCAAAACGAAATCGTTTTTTAAAAATTTCATTTTCCGTTTCTATCATTAACTTCTAAAAAAAATCTCATATTTCAAATGTATATAATTGTATAATATAATACATAAAAACTCATAATATAATACACATAATTAAATATAATACATAATACATATAAATTTTTAATAGAATACACATAAACTCTTAACATAAAATAATTTCGTTTTGAGCAGGACCGGCAAATTATGCTGTGCATCCGTATGCACCATGCATGGTGCATACGGATGCAAAAAAGACGTCGTTTTAATAAAACGCGCGTCTCCCCTTAAAAAAAAAATCAGGTTCGATTCCCAGCAACAACATATGAACTAAAATTCCATAATCGATGAACTATAATTCCATAATCTAATCTATGAACTAAAAATTCCAGAATGAATGAACTAAATTAAAATTCCATATTCTATAAACTAAAATTTCATAATCGATGAACTACAATTCCATAATCGATGAACTATAATTCCATAATCAATGAACTATAATTCCATAATCTATGAACTAAAATTCCAGAATGAATGAACAATATAATGTTGTTGATGGGAATCGAACCTGAATTTTTTTTAAAGGGGAGACGCGCGTTTTTTAATAAAACGACGTCGTTTTGGCATCCGTGCATACAGATGCACCATGCATGGTGGTGCATACGGATGCACAGCATAACGATTGAGCAGGACCCTAGTGCACGATATAACGATTGTATAACGATTGTCAGTATATAATCAATTTATTGTAAGCTGTTGAAAGTTGAATTGCAGGGCGGATTGTACAATTCTGCTTTAAAATATTTGACTCGTTGGATTTCTTTATCACCCTGACTGACCCTCATGGCGGCTAAGGACACTACTCTGGCTTCTCGCTCCCCTTCCCGCACGCCGATTGTCAGGGACCCATCGCCTCCTCGCTCGCTCTTTAGATCGCTAAATTCTTGCCCGATTCTTCTGTAATATGCTATGTAACAATCTCCTCTCAGCGACACAAGAGTATCCATAGCTTCCGGCGAAGAGCAGTGGTAATAATAATTTTTTTTAAAGCTTTTGCAATTAGGAACATAGGAGTACACGAGTATTTGCTAAATTAGGCAGTAATTTTATTAACTATGCTATTTAAAAATGATAGTATTATTTGTTTAATTTAGGATGTATTCTATTAATTGTGTAGTTTTAATCTTAAATTAGCTCTAATCAATGCAATGAATTTAAATTAGGCAGTAAATTTATATTGTATTAGGGTTGCATTGCTTGTAGTAGTATTAACTGGTATTGATGTTTCTTGAGTGTTTGATCGGAGATATGTGTTTGTTTTATTATAATTTCAGCTAAAGTAAAACAACTTTAGCTTCAATTTTCATACAAAGCATTTATATATCCTTTAGAAACATTACATGTGATGTTTGCCTCTTTGTGTCCCTTTTTGAACAAAAGAGGCGCTTCGCTTCGCCTTGCGCTTTAAAGCGAGGAAGTGCCTGGTCGCTCTGCTGCACTTTTCACTTTAAAAACCTTAGATTCTGGTAAAGTTGAATTCCTTGTCTTTGTTATTATGTTTCACCAAGGAAGGCCAATATAATTAATCAGATGAAATGTTGAAAGTTTACTGCTCACTGACTTTGAATGCCTTGGAAATTTTCAATTGTTTCAAGACTATTTTTCAGGCTATATTTATGTCAGTATATATGTTCATTGGGAGGAAAAGTATTAAGCTTCTTATTATACAAGGTGAAAATGCGAGGTGTTGTAATTAATCTTTCAGTTTAAGATTCTATGCAAGATATTTTAGGTGCACAATGAAGGCATTAATAGTGGAGTTCTAGTATGGTCAATTACCTTGTGGTGAGGATTTCATTTCTTAAATACTCCTACAGGATTCCAGTGCCAGTAGAGCCTACAATTGATGTCTGATGCAAGTGTTGCATATAACTTGGATGAAATATAATACCTGAGTTAGTTTTGCGGTTGCTGTGATGGGCTCTTTCTTTCTTTTATTTTTATAAAAGTTGCTTGATAGCCCCTGCAAATTAAGGTTCACTTTACAAGACTTTCTACAGCTTACTTGTGGAAGTTATGGATCTATTATAAAATGTTTTTGGCCAGATTGGTCTACATGAAACTCAAGTGGCATTGTGGCAATGATGACCACAAAATTCATTCTTGCATCAACCCATGGAAAAAAGCGACTTATTTTTCATTTCTGACCCTTAGCTTTGCATCACTTTCCCTTGATTATGTTTTCCTGGTGGTTACATGCCCAAATTGTTAATATTCCTCTAACAATTTGCTAAGCCATTTTTTTTTTTTTTTTTGAAAATGTAAAACCTGTCTTTGTTTTGTTAAGGATTTGGCTTAAAATATCACTCGTTTTTTCAAATACATTTTGTTTTCTTTCATGTTCTCTTGTTCTGGTTTAAATCATGAATGTTGACTTCTTCAAGTTTTTGAAATGAACATGTTGAAAATGCTTGTGAATCTTTGAAATAGATGAATGTACAACTGAATTGATTGCAAAGGATCTTGACATCGTAATAAACTCTGCAGCTAATAAAACCTTTGATGAAAGGTCACTTAAGTATATTGTGCGAGCACATGTGTGTACAGTGTATACACACACACACACTTGTGTTTATCATTATCATTATATTATCTCAGAAAAATCTATATAAGTGGTAAACAAAAGCAAAGCAACTGAGAAAATATCTATATAGATCTTCTGGTTATTGCAGAGCTGGAAAACCAAATACGGAGTATATTTTAGGGGTTATTTCCTTTTACCAATTTACTGGTATATATTATAGTTAAATTAATAATGAAATAGATAAAGACAAAGGTCTAAAGATATACTCTCAACTAATTTGTCATGTAAACCTCTTGTTATCATAATGAATTGAATAGTACCAAAAGAAGAGTATGCCCTCATTAAGATGGTTTAATTTCCCTAGAAATAGTATTGCTGTAAGAAAATTTTTGCATGATATAACAGGGATAAAATTTATATAAGGTTTATATAGTTATATATATTTTTTTCATTGAGCATTGACATAATCATGCAATGCGTGTAGTTATAACTGGTATCTATATATGTACATATTTATTCGCAGACACATATAGATACACACATCTCAAAATACCATAATCGAATAGCCTAGTAGTTCTACAAAGCAGGCAAGAGAGATAGAGGATGGAGGTAAGAGCAAGAGCGCCGGCAAAAATCATTCTGGCCGGAGAACATGCGGTGGTGCATGGATCCACTGCTGTGGCAGCCGCCATCGATCTTTATACCTATGTCTCTCTAAGCTTCCCTATTCCCTCTGGTAATCACTAAACCATCATAACGTATGTCATAGATGTGTAACTTTGAACTCTGTAGTGTTTACAATTGAATTCAATTCTTAGAGAAACTGATTTTTAATCACTGATTTCTGAATTGATTAATTCTCCGCTTCTTCACTACTGCTACTTCATTATTATGTCACCCTAAATTGAAACTTAATTAGTGGTAGTTAGGGCATTTAACTGAAGTAATTTCATCATTAAGCATAACTTTGGAAGGTTTGAATTTGACCTTCATTTCTTGTTGATGAAAAAATTGTCCTTTTCTAACTTTTGAAAAGGATAAACCACTTATTCCAAAATTTGCCCATCTGAAATTGCTTCATGTGAGTAGTTTGTGTTAGGGTTGACCAATCTACATGTGACTAATGAATATGAAGGGTTAAAAGACTTCTCACAAGTCATGCAAAATAATGCAAACTTTTGGTGCAAATAGCATATTTCTTTTGAAAATGGAAACATAAACCCAATTGCTTTGATTAAGATTGGAATGAATTTCATAAATTGAAGGTTATGGAATTGCAATACTCCCAGATAGGTTTTATGGCTTCTTTTTTTTTTTTTTTTTTTTTTTTTTTTTTTTTTTTAAATTTAAAATTCTATTTCATGATACATAACTGAAGAAACTAAGTCTTTTTGTTCTACTTATTGCATTGGATGCTTTGGGACCAGAAAATGATGAAACACTGATACTCCAACTTAAGGATGTTTCCTTAGAATTTTCTTGGCCAGTTGCAAGAATTAGAGATGCTTTTCCAAATCTTGATAGTAGTGTTGCTTCCTCTCCTTCATCATGCTCATTGGAGACACTTAAGTCAATTGCTTCTTTGGTGGAAGAACAGAAAATTTCTGAGGCCAATATTGGACTTGTGTCTGGTGTCTCAGCTTTCCTCTGGTTGTATACCTCTATTCATGGGTGTGTAACTTTGCTTGCCTTGTGAAACCTTGTTCTTCTCATTGTTTAGCAAAGTCATTTATGATATCTGAATCTTGTTCTTCCTTATTTGCAATATCAGATGCAAACCAGCAAAAGCAGTTGTCCATTCTGAGCTCCCAATGGGAGCAGGTCTGGGATCATCTGCTGCCCTCTGTGTTGCATTCTCAGCTGCCATGCTCTCTTTGTCAGATTCTGTTAGTATGGATTTCAGCCACCAAGCTTGGCAAGTATTTAAAGACACTGAACTGCAATTGGTAAACAAGTGGGCTTTTGAGGGCGAAAAGATAATCCATGGGAAGCCATCTGGGGTTGACAATAGTGTAAGCACATATGGTATGTGATTGCAACTCTTCTGGTGAAGAAATTAGTTACTCTTTTGCTCATTGATATATTGTTTTTCCCTAATGAGAGTACCAAATGCTTCAACTTTAGGATCATCATACCTATGCAACTAATGGACTTCATGTGACAGGGAACTTGATCAAATTTAAGTCTGGTGATTTGACACGCCTCAAGACTAACATGCCAATGAAAATGCTAATCACTAATACAAGAGTTGGCAGAAATACAAAGGCATTAGTTGCTAGTGTCTCAGAGAGGACATTGAGGCATCCTAGTGCCATGGCTTCTGTGTTTGAGGCTGTAGATTCCATTAGCAATGAAGTAGCTACTATTATCCAGTCACCTGTTGGTGATGATCTTGCAATAACTGAGAAGGAAGAAAAATTGGGAGAGTTGATGGAGATGAACCAAGGGTTGCTACAGTGCATGGGTGTAAGTCATTCCTCAATAGAAACTGTGCTTCGAACAACAGAGAAGTACAAATTATGCTCCAAATTAATTGGAGCTGGTGGTGGAGGTTGCGTTTTGACACTGCTACCAACTTGTATCCTTTCTGTTATCTGCTCATACATGTTATGCATGCCTTTCCTTTTCACTCTAAATTCATTATCGGTTTATTTGCAATTCCAACCAAACTTGTATTATTTTCCCTGATTGATCAGGGGCCTAATGAAATCCTGATAATGCATCATCCTTGTGGTTGTAGTAATGCACTCCTTATAAAGGAAGACCAGATTTGATTAGATAATGTATTATGTTTCCTTGACAATATTCAGTGCTATCAGGAGCAGTTGTTGATAAGGTGATAGCTGAGTTAGAGACATTTGGGTTCCAGTGTCTAATTGCTGGAATCGGTGGAAATGGCGTCGAGGTTTCTTTCACTGGATCTTCCTGATGATACATACATATGCTGATCGAGGCTTCAATTTACCTTTGCATCTCAAGATTTGGTACGCCACATCTAGTCTACAATATTATATACGGTTCTTTTCCATGCTAATGCTATCTTCACAGTAGCTCCTGTTTGGGCTAAACTCCTACCCTTGTGTTTTTTCCCCCAAATATTCAATTCTTCAATTTGAAACCCAATCTAATAATGTTTAATGAGGAATATCAAGAACTTATGAAGAATTTTTATTTTTTATTTTCCAAATTTGTTTGTTTGTATGTCATGTCCTTTCTATTTGGTCTTAAGATTGCATTAATGTTATTTTCTTCTCAATGCTTGCATTTGGGGGTTTTGTAATAGGTTGAATCTCAGATTGTTACAAAAGGGAAATCAACACTTTGGTTCCTAGAAGGGAAATCAACAATTTGGTCCCTCAATTATTTCTCAACTGTCAATTTAGTCCATCAATTATTTCTCAACTGTCAATTTAGTCCATCAATTGTCATTTCAACCAATTTTATCTTCGAATTATTTAAAATTTCATCAATTAAACCTTTTCAAGGGACCAAATTGATGAAATTCTAAAAATGTAGAAATCACCATGGTTTTGAAAAGGTTTGATTGATGAAATTTTAAAGAATTCGAGGACTAAATTGACTGAAATTAAAACCTAGGTACTACATTGACAATTAAGAAATAATTGAGGAACAAAAATGGTGATTAACTCTACAAACAATGCATACTGAATTTGCTGCTATTTTACCAGATTCAGAATTTCAGTGAGTTGATAATGAAAGTCTGATTTTCCCCCACAAGCACACATTAAAGATTGGAGATAGATAATTAGATATTGCTCCCTTTACTAGGTTACATACGGAAAACACCACTACAAACATCTCACATACACTAATTAACATAAACAGTAGGAAATACTTCAATTCTGGCGCAGTAGGAAAAGGGAGAGCCCCAGCAACAAACAAAACAAAGGATTCCTTACAGTTGCCGCCGCCCCAGCCGGGGGGGCGAACATCCCCGTTTGAGTGTTGGTGGTGAGCACCAACACTGTCCAGTCGTCCTCCGTCCCGATTCCGACACCGGTGTACTTGGAATCGTTCAGGTACTTTGCATTCTGCGGGGACTGAGTGTAATTGGTGAGCACGAGCGTGGGGACTCGTTTCCTCACGCACACCGGCACCACCATGCCGTCCTTGGTGGTGTTGCCATCTATGCCGCACTTGTCCAGGTGTTTCTGCAAGTTAGCCACTCGCGGTGGGCTGCTCGGAGCTCCCGGCCGCGGACACGCCTCGTCTTCTATCTCGTCGGCTATCTTGCCCGCCAAGCAGTTTGCCTTGTCGTGCTTTGCTAGGGCCGGCAAGCTTTTGGATTGCCTGTAACTGTTGATACCTTGAAGAAGATGATCTTCTTCATCTGTCCATGCATGCCCGCAAATTATAGAAACGAAACAGTAATTTTAAAAGAGAATCTATATATAATACTATACATGCAGTAAAGAAATGGAATGAGTAGCTTGGGTTATTAATTAGATACGAACCATCACAGCGCACGGAGAGCGATGCGAGGAGGAAAACACAAATGGCTGCAGAAAGTCGCAGAGACGAGGAGGGCGCCATGGATAGATAGATGGAGAGAAATGGGAACTGATCGAGAACTGAATTATTAAGTATGAAGGTAATTAGTTAAGGAGAAAAGAAATGAGAAAAATGGGGGATGATAGTTGATAGGCAGGTGCTACTCTATGTACACAACACGTTGCACCCATGCAATACAATGCAGCTGACGCATCAGATCAATGCACCTTTTTTTTTTTTTTGATCTTTTCCTTCAATTCGCCTTTAAAAAAAAAAAAGAAAAAGAAAAGATTGAGGCATATATATATTGGTCTGCATGTTTAATTTCTATCAATTTTCATTCACGATTATTGTTTTAATACCAATTTTTATTCAGACTATTATTTTAGTGCTAAAATTTATCATACCGATCATTTCTCCGTTTCAAATATGTCGAAATATGAAATTATTAAGGGTATTTTCAATTTTTTTAATAATCACAATCCCAATTTGAGCATGAATAATGATATTTAAAACCTGAGATCGATCTTAATTCACAGTTTTCCTCCTCAAATTAAGGTAGGATGAAGATGAAAACTGCGAATTGGGATCGATCTTAAGGCTTAAATCTCATTATTCATACTCAAATTGGGATTTTAAGTTGAAAATAACGAAAGTACCCTTAAAATTTTAGATTTCAGCATGTCTTAAACGAATGAGTGACCAACGTGATGAATTTTGGCACTAAAACAATAATTGTGGATGAAATTTGGTACTAAACTAATAGTCGTGGATGAAAATTGATAGGAATTAAATATGTCGACTAAAACTTCATTCTATTAATACTCGTGAGATCAAAATTGGTATTTTCTCTCTCTCTCTCTCTCTCTCTCTATATATATATATATATATATATATATATGAGTTAATACCTAATATAGTCCTCGACTATAGTGATTTTATCTAATTTAGTCTTAACTGATTTTTTGTACTCAATTTAATTTTCAATTTTGGTGGTTTTACACAATTTAATCCTTTGTTAAAAATTCTGTTAGTCGACTGTTAGAAATAGGCTGCAGGGTCCTAATGACAATTTCTCAATCTTCATCCCATTTGGGATGATTCCTCCTTCTTGCCCTTATTAAGCTCCACGCAGAAATGGAGATCTTTATGCCCAAATCAACTTAAACCCTAAATAAATAAGTAAATAAGATGAAGAAGAAAGAATCATTTGCATTTATGTGTGATCTTAATAAGGGGATGAAGAATGAATCATCCCAAATGAAATGAAGGATGAGAAATTACAATTAAGACCTTATTTTTAACCGTCAACTAACAGAATTTTTAACAAAGGACTAAATTGTATAAAATCATTAAAATTGAGAATTAAATTAAGCATAAAAAATCATTTAAAACTAAATTGAGTAAAATTGCTATAGTCGAAGACTATATTGAATATTAATTCATATAAATATTTACTTCTAGTTCAACACTGTTAATTAATATCCACACAATTTATATATTCCAAGGGCTGAGTTGGCATTGATATACGAATTAGATAAAATCATACATGATGGTACCTTATCGTTCGTATTAGGCTCTGTTTGGCAAACCTAGCTGAAAAGTTATAAGTTAGGAGCTGAAAACTGAAGAGCTGTTAAGCTAGCTGTTATGATTAAAAGTGTTTGGTAAAACTAGCTTTTTGATAAGCTGATAAATGTAAAAAGACTAAAAAGGACATCTTCATATAATTTAAATTAGTTTGTTTACATATTAAAATTTGACATTTTGTCTTTAAAAAAATTAATATTCTGAAATAAAACTATTAGCATAATCATGATCTAGCATCCCATAATGATGTAGCAATATTGTTGCGAATCTCCTTCATCTCAGTAGAGGCCTGGCTTAAATTTTCGTTGATGGAGATATTACTACTTGAATCTTGAAGTTCATCGGGCGGTATGTAATCTGGATGCTGCTCAAACACATTAAACATCATGTCATCTTGTGAATTCTTCCGAATATAATTATGGAGTGCAAAGGTGGCCATAATAACATCAATTTGGGTCTCCACACTAAATTGTGGCATATTAGCAAGTATCTTCCATCTCTTCTTTAATACTCCAAACGACCTCTCAATACAACTTCGAAGAGAAGAATGTGCACGATTGAATGCTTCTTGAGCATTTGTTGGCGGCTCATGTTCAAATTGAGATTGATGATATCTTATTCTTGGATACGGTACCAAATATCCTTGTTTATCTGGATATCCTTTATCCACCAAATAATATCTTCCTAAAAAAAATATAACAATAAACTTTTATAATGAATAAAATTATATGATTTTAGAGTTAAAAAATACGAATATGATACCTTGTGGCGGCTTGGGAAAGTTCATTGATGGTGTATTAATTGCATGAAGAAATACACGTGTATCATGTGCTGATCCTTCCCATCCAACAGATATAAAAGTGAAACACATATCAAAGTTACACGCTGCCATAACATTGAAAGTAGGAATTCCTTTTCTCCCTCTATATCGCAATTGATCAACCTCAGGGATGCACGCTGCTATATGAGTACCATCAATACATCCAATACAATCCTATTCATCATATATATTAGATAATCAATTTTAAAATAATAATAATAATAATAATAATAATAATAATAATAAAGTGAAATCATAAAATGGTCACATGAAATCATAAAATGGTCACATTTTACCTTGAAATATGGCATGTATCGTGCATCATTAGTAATGTAAGACGGTATAGATTGAAATGTAGGATCATCTGGTTTTATGATATCACGTGCAAGGCCTTTGTATCTGCTATTCCGATCACTAATTGCTTCCAAAACCTCATGAAATGCTCTACTTATTGTTTCACCGGAACGTTGAAATCGTTCACCAACATCTCTATTTGAAGCACCCATAGCAAGTGTGTATATAAATATACCAACTTTCTCCACATATGACATATTCCTAGTAGATTGTAATCCATATTTTGAATATAAGTCTTCACATAATTGCTTAAACAAATCGGAGTCCATTCTAAATGCATTTACACATCGAATATGATGTCCATTCAACACTTCTTTCATCCATTTACACTGTAATTGGCAGTAATGCTAATAGAATACCATGATCAGTGTAATCAAACATTGAGCTTCTCTAATGATCATGTTTTTACATGGTATGCTAATATGATACCATGCTAATAATAAAATCAAATAATAGGAGTTGCAGAGAACATAATTTTTGAGAAATCAACCCTCCATATAGGCATCCACAAAGAATTAGTTTTTGACACTTTATTCCCACTAGGCACATTGGCCGAAACATGATCATTAGACCCCTTTGAGATACCAACATTAGAAGCAGCCAAATGAACTGATGCACTATTCACATGGACAGTAACACTTAGGCATCTAAGGTTTAAATTAATCCCAGAATTATGAAAACTTAAAAGAAGTAGCACCACAACTAGCATTATTAAAAGCATTGTGCACATTCAAAAAAGTAGAAATATTATTTACTCTCTATGCATTAAAACCATGAATACCGTTAGTTCAGACAATAACACAAATAGCTAGCAGACCTATGGCTTTGCATCATACCGTTAGTTCAGACAATAACACTAAACAGTTTTATGGTCAAACAGTCCATCCACTTAAGAAGAACAAGACACACAAAATCATTATTTAGGATGTCCAGCCAAACATATACATACCTGCGGATTGATGCTATGACTATTGGACTATTGCAGACTGCGGAGTGCGATGGATGATGCTCCTGCAGAGTGAAAATGGGGGATGGCGATGGATGATTCTTCTGCGGAGTGCAAATGGGGGATGGCGATGCTTCTGCGGAAGGCAAATGGGGGATGGCGAACCTTATGCGGAATGCAAATGGGGAGATGGACGAGGCTTATGCGAATGGTCGAAGATGAAGGGATTGTCGTGAAAGTTGCTAGGAGAAGAGAAATGGTTTTAATTCAGAAGAGTAAAACATGTCATTACTTTAAAATAATAAGGGCAAATATGGAAAAAAAGTTAGGAAGCTCCTAGCTTATTTTGAATCCAAAATAAGCTCTTATTTTAAGCTAAGAGCTTATTTTGGAATATTACCAAACAGAGCTTATAGCTTATTAGTAGCTTAAAATAAGCTATAAGCTCCTAGCTTATCTCTGCCAAACAGAGCCTCAATATCATTTGATGTCATAGAAATTCTCTATATATTAGTGCAGGCCGGTTGAAATAAAAATAATCCCTTGTAAAAAGTAACGATTAATTTAACAGTTCATTTATGATTGAAATTTTAGTAAAAAAATAAATATAAGTTGGGTCAAGATCTGATGCGGTCATTCTTTCTGATGCAATCTTTTTATTCCTTTTAAAATTTATTCTGTGAACCAAATATTGATATTGTAAATTTCAAATCCAGTGGCGGAGCCACGTAAAAGTTGCTGATGGTTGTTGACAGGGGTGTGCCTCTGGTAAGAGACTTTAGCCTGCCCAAAGAGAAATCCTGTTTCACTGGCGCAGTCAAGTGAATAATCGTTGCATCCTTTGGTTTATAATAATAATAATTTGTCATTTTGTTGTTAAAATTTTTAAATTTTTACTACTTTAATCTTTTATCTATTTTTTTCAGTTTTAGTTAATTCAATTGATTTGTCAAAAAAATTTAACACTGTGAACATCGAAAGTTTGAGTTGAAATTAAAAAAAACAAAAAGTTGATATTTTCTCTAAAAGAAATAATATTCATAATAGTACACAAAATATATTTACATTTTTTAAAGGTATAGCCATGAATTGATGTATTTTAGCAAGAAGATAGCACGACTAACTATTTTTAGATAAATTGTACGTAATATGCTACTATACATATCCTTTTATCAATTATCATGAAGGTTTAGAGGCTAATTAATATAATGACGCCAGATTATACTGACGTGGATGCTGCATGTGGCCTTAGAACACACCTACGCTCCCTCCTCCTGCCACGTGTACTTCCCAGCGGCCACCGGCCCACCACCACCGCTCCGCCGCTTCAACCCCCACCTATAGCTATATGTGTGTGTATATATATTCTTCATTGCCATTACCTCTTCTACTCCACAACACTACATTACATGTTCTCTCGTTGTTTTACTTCCTCAAGAGCTCTAGCCGTGACTCTACGCCACCTCCCTCCGCCGCCCACCACCGCCCACTTATTACCGCCGTTCTCGTCTACCACATTTTCGCTCAAAACAAACGGTAATAGCACTGTAAGGCTGTCGGTGTTTGTGAGATCAATGGCTTCCGACGGCAATCAATTCCCTCCACAAAAGCAGGATTCTCAACCTGGGAAAGAACATGTCATGGATCCCGCTCCCCAGTATTCTTCTCAAGATTATAAGCCCTCCAACAAGCTTCAAGTATTCTCTTCTTTCTCTCTTTCCTTTCTTCATATATATATATATATATATATATATATATATATATATATATATATATAGGAAATGGATCAAATGCATTTGGACATTCCGAGCAGTTGGAAGCACATTAAGCATTAAACTGACACACTTTTAAGTACATATTAGGGGCACATTAAAGTACACAAATAAAACACTTTTAGAACACAAACTCACGCACATTAAGTACAAAATTGACGCGCCTTAAGCATTAAGCATTAAATTGACGCACCTTAAGCACAAAATTCGCGTAATTTAAGCACAAAATTCATATACCTTAAGTTTCAACACTACTCACATTAAAAGCACAACACTCACGCACATTAAAGTTTCAACAATAACTCACATTAAGTACACACCCAGGCACATTAAGTACAAAACAACACAAAACTCACGCACTTTAAGCACAAGACTCAGGCACTTTAAGTACAAAATTTACGCACATTAAGCAAAAAATTCAGAACACACTAGGCATATTAAACACAAATTTCACACATCTTAAGCACAAGATTCACGTATATTAAGTACAAAATTCACACACATTAATCACGTGCACGGGAAACATTCAATCGCACCTGACTGGGGAAGCCCTGGTGAATTTTGTTAAAGAATTTGATGATGTAGCATGGTGAATTTTGAAGGGTAAGGTAGCTCTGGTGACGGGAGGGGATTCCGGCATTGGGCGAGCTGTTTGCCAATGCTTCGCGCTGGAAGGTGCAACGGTGGCGTTCACCTATGTAAAATCCCAGGAGGACAAGGATGCACGGGACACCCTTCAAATCTTAAAGAAAGCGAAAGTGGAGGGTGCAAAAGAGCCGATGGCGATACCGGCGGACTTGGGGTTCGATGAGAATTGCCGGAAAGTTGTGGAATCAGTGGTCAATTCTTACGGGAGGATCGATATTCTGGTGAACAACGCCGCAGAGCAGCATAAGACGTGGTCCATTGAGGAGATCGATGAAACCCGGCTTGAGAGGGTGTTCAGGACTAACATCTTTTCCCAATTCTTCCTCGTCAAGTAATCAAATAATTTAATTAGATCGAGCTAATATAAGCTGTGAAAATGGTGGTTTAATTTAATTAATTTCTCATCATCTATCACTTTGCAGGCATGCTTTGAAGCATATGAAGGAAGGGAGTTCAATAATCAACACAACCTCAGTGACTGCCTATAAAGGAAGCCCAAAGCTGCTTGATTATTCAGCCACCAAGGGTGCGATTGTGGCGTTCACCCGAGGGCTTGCGCTGCAGCTCGTGGAGAGAGGGATACGTGTTAACGGGGTGGCGCCCGGGCCGATATGGACGCCATTGATCCCCGCTTCGTTTAGCGAAGAGGAGTGTGCAGAGTTTGGGAAACAGGTGCCAATGAAGAGGGCCGGTCAGACCATCGAGGTGGCTCCATCCTATGTTTTCCTCGCATCTTGCCCCGAATCGTCCTACATCACGGGCCAAATCCTCCACCCCAATGGTGAGAATTATAATGCATTATATTCTCCTCAACAATATAATAACTGCAGTACAGTTAAATAGTACTATGACTCTCTCAAATGGGAGGGGGTCACTAGTTCAAACCTATTAGGAACATTGACTCTCTCTTCTTTTAACTTAGAAGGTGGTAAATTTTGTGTGGTTTAACCAAAAGTTTAATTGTGTTTCCATTTCAAATTAAGAAATTTGATATGTTTGGTGGTTTTTGGGTTTGCAGGTGGGACGATTGTTAACGGTTGAGGATGGCATATGCGCATTCTGGAAAGAGTTATTTTAGTTAATTATGTTAGCTAAGCCTAGCCTCTCCTCTTAGCTTGATAATAAGTATTAATTACAAAATGGTCTGCTTAGCTAGCTAGCTAGCCTGTTCTTTATGTCTCTGTTGCAATTAAGTAAGTGGGTTTCTTTAATTTTGGTTTCTCAGCTCCTAATAATTATATTAAAAATTTAAAATTTCTTCATTTTTTTTTTTTGTGGGTCTTTAATTGCATTTGGTAAAGAGTAAACTAGAGAGAACAATTATACTCTACAAAATAAAGTTGCGGATAGCAGGACATATATAGGCATATAGCTAGGTTTCTTGATAGCATCAAAATATTTTGATGTGGTTGATTTTTGTTCTTTTCAATTTCCAGTGTGGTTAATCATCATGTGTTTTTTTTTTTTTTTTTTTTTTTTTTTTTTTTTTTTTTTTTTTTCAGAGAATACAACAAAGGGAGACAATTTTGTGTTAGTTGAACTTAAAAGTTGAATAAATTTCTCAAAAAAAAGTTGAATAAATTTGTGTAAAATACTAAAGTGAGTATTGATTTCTTGATAAGACCTACCTTTCTATGCTAAAAAAAAAAAAGAAGAAGATATAGGTATATATATTGTATATGGCTGCCCTGTACACATGTGATCAGGGACGGAGCCAGAAAATTTAAGTTGGAGGTCGATGTAGTATAGAAAATTTACAATGTTAGTTGACATTATAATTAATCGTACCATAGTATTATATATATCATACATTATTGTGATTATTGATAATAATTTCTAATTATACTATATATAGAGTATGAAATACATAATTATATGAGTTTGGTCGACATATGTGTCGATTATTACTTAAGAAATTTTTCACATAATACAAAAATACAAAATATAATAATAACAGTAACAACAACATTTATTTAAATATAGATTTTCACTTACATCAAATAAAAAATTTTGTCAATTATTTTGTTACTAAAATTTTTTCATAATTAACTGATATTCATTTTATCGATTAACTGAATATCTCAAAATTTGAGAGATAAAAGACAAAAACCAAGACGAATTAAATAAATATTAGTGGCCAGTTGCAAATCAAATGAGATTTTGAAATTTTAGTCTGGAAATTTTTGTTTAGAGAGTGCAGATATTTTGGTAGGATTGTTATGCCGTGGGACAATGTCCACCTTACAAGGTGGACACGATTCTATATTCATAATTACTAAATTCTATGTTCATATTTTTTGAACTTCATATTCACAATTATTGAACTCTATATTCACAATTACAGAACTCTATGTTCATAATTATAAAACTCTATGATCATAATTTTTAAATTTCATATTCACAATTAGTGAATTCTATATTCACAATTGTAGAACTCTATGTTCATAATTATAAAACTCTATATTCATGACTTTATGTTCATAATTATAGAAATTTATGTTCATAATTATAGAAATATATATTCATAATTATAAACAGTTTTGAAACCGTGCCCACCTTACAAGGTGGACACGGTTCCACAGCATAATTTGTGATTTTGGTAAGGAAACTAAAAATTTAATATATTATTAATAACCTTTTGGAGGAAGGGTGAGGTGGGGTGCAGACGTTATGCCATGGAACCGTGTTCACACGGTTTCAACGGTGTTAGTGCACCGTTATCTTTTTTTTTTTTTTTTTTTTTTTTTTTTTTTTTTTTTTTTTCTTTTAATTAATTACGTGACTGCCTACACATTCACTTTGGAACCATGCCTACACATTCACTTTGGAACCATGAGATTATGAATTTTCAGTTATGAGATTATGAATTTTCTGTTATGCTGAATTTTCTGTTATGAGATTATGAATTTTCATTACATTCATAATTTCGGAGTTTCGGACATTCATAAATTATGAATTCATGCATGCACATTCACTTTGGAACCATGCCTACATATTCCCGTCCGAAATCACGGACATTCATAAATTATGAATCCATGCCTGCACATTCACTTTGGAATCGTGCCTACACATTCACTTTGGAACCATGAGATTATGAATTTTCTGTTATAAGATTATGAATTTTCTGTTGTGAGATTATGAATTTTCAGTTGTGAGATTATGAATTTTCTGTTATGCGATTATGAATTTTCTGTTATGAGATTATGAATTTTCATAAAATTCATAATCTCATAACAGAAAATTCATAATTTGATCAGTAACGCGCCGTTAACTCCACATCCGCGATTTTTTTTTTTTTTTTTTTTTTTTTGCCTAAAAACGACGTCGTTTTGACTTGTGTTCACCATTCTCGGTGAACACGATTCCACGGCATAATTTGCGGGTGGGGTGGGGGTCAAAGGCCCAAAGCCCCTAGTCATCATGTTTCTCTAAATCCGCCCTTATTAATATTAATAATTTTATTTTTTGGGAGGGGCCTTTTTTTTGGGGGGGGGGGGGGGGGGGGGGGGGGGGGGGCGGGGGAAGGCCCCCTGTACTGACCATCTCCCTCCGTCCCTGCATGTGATAAATAAAAAATGAAAATGTAATACCATACCTTTTCTCTCTATTTATCACATTTCATCCTCATTTGAGTAGAAGTGAATGGTTTTGGAGCATTTTAGATACATTTAGAGTCATGAAGATATGGAGTTATGTAACACTTTTAAGAGAGCCTAAGAGTGGTGTTTTCAATGGTCTCAGTTATTTAGGCAAACCAAAACAAAAGAAGAGCAAAATAACAAGACATTATAACTATTTGGTATTTAAATCATATCTCAGCCTAAAAATGTACGAATCAAGTGATTCTAGCGCCATTAAAGCATAATTCTGAAGTCAAAAGAGTAAAGGTAAAAAACAACCTACAAACTGAAGTAAGAACTAGAATCCGACTTCATGATAATGAACATAATTCCAAACAAACAATATTAGCATAAGCTAATTCCAAATATGGGACTCAACCGATTTATCCAATCATGGGTTAAAGAGTGTTATAAATGACCTCACATTTAATCATGGAAAATTAGCGATTGACTATCCCTTTTAGAAAAAAAAAAAAAAAAAAAACACAAACAAATTAACTCAAAGGAATCAATCCGTATCACGTACACTTGAAATGCCTAAAGCAATTTAACACAAGAAAAATGTCACTTCTCGAGCACATAAACACTTGAAATGCCTAAAGCAATTTAACACAAGAAAAATGTCACTTCTCAAGCTCATAATTTATAAGTTCATAATTGTTCATATTTATACTTTATATATACCATATACTTAGCCTTATTTTGTTTATAAAGTGTTATAATGGTGTTCAAAATGATCCTGTTTTATTCATTTGATTAAATAGGCACAATTTATAATCTTTGAGTAGAAGTGAATGATGATCAGTAGTTGGTCCGCCTTACAATGTTAAAGCAACATTCTTGTCGGAAGGATTTTTTAGGAGGCCCGGACTTTTGGAGCATTTTGGATACATTTAGAGTAAATGGAGCAAAATATGAAGATATGGAGTTGGATGCAACACTTTCAAGGGATTCGTGTTTTTAATGGTCTTAGTCATTTAAGCAAACCAAAACAAAAGAAGAGCAAAAGATTAAGGCATTGCAATTTTCGCTCATCTCAACCACTGTTCGGTATTTGCACCATATCTCAGCCTAGAAATGTTGAAATAAAGTTATTCTTTTGCCAATGAAAAGAAGAGACTCGAAGAGCTACAATTCTTATGAAGATCTCAAAGCAGAAGTCAAAATGGTCAAAATCAACCTACAAATCGAAGTTTTGTTGCAAAAAGATCCTCAACTACGAGTCAAGGCTTGACAGAAAGGTCCAGTTTTTATTATGTAAATGCTCGACACGTGAAGAATCACTCTCGACGTGTCGAGCCCCTAAATCTGCAATTTCCAGCAGCGAACCTTGCTTCCTATTTACACACAAATTGAGCTCTATTTACACGGTTCGGAGCCATGATTGAGCCCAATAAATAGAGCTCATGGCAAGAGCTAATAGAAAATGGCCAAGACTCGCTTTCGATAATGCTCCATATTATTTTTTAAAATAAGATCTTAACCTTCTGTAAACAAAAAAAAAAAAAAACAAAAAACAAAAAAAAAAATCATTCTAAATTCTAGTCCAAACTAAGGCATCATTCTTATTATTTGGTGTTATAAATTTGATACTTCAATTCTTTCTTACTCAATATGGTATCTTGAAGAAAGTGTTGGGAAACATTCAAAGGCAAGACAAGGCTCCAAGTGGGAACTCATTTAATAGTCTTTTACTTAAATTGAATGTCCCACATTGCTTTGCTAGCTTTGCTTTCCTTCCTTTATATATTTGAACTCCCTAAAGAAGGCTTGAAGTGTTATGGAGAGTGAACAAGGGAAAAACCCCGCACGCTGCTCGGCACACGTGCGAGGTGTGGGATATGGCTTAGTTTTATTGCTTGGTCTTCTTTTCCTATTTTTATGGATCAACACAACATATATTCGAACAGCACAAGTGGCCAGCACCACTTGCGTAATATATGTTGTGGTCAGGATTGGTTTTATTAATGAGGGCCATGCATTGCCTAATTTTGGGCATTGGTTGTAAGAAAAGGAAAGTTGCTATAAATAGCAATAACCCCTTCATTACATACACACGGCAATATAGCCATATTTCACAACACACCACCCTGCGTTCATTTAAGCTATTTCTTCCGTCTGTGTTATCTGTCGGAGATATAACGATACCCTGTCGTTAAATATCTTTAAGATAGTGTTGCCAAACACGATACAGAACGCTGCCGGTTTTCTGTCCCGAAGCAACAACACGTCGCAAATATCCATTCCAGGTATTCATCGCACCTATTTTACCCAACAGTTAAAGATATTTAAATCAGGGAGGCGATGTCTACTGCAATGAAACCAGCTTCTGATGTCACACCCATCGAAATTCTAACCGGAGGTATGAACTACAAACGATGGGCTGCTAGGATCGTTATGTTGCTGGAAGAGAATGATGTTGACTATGTGATATATGAGGATCCAGCCACGTTCATTCTAGCGGCTACTACCGCGACAGCAACCGCGACCGCGACCGCTGCTACTGCCACTCCCGTGGCAGCTGACAAATCTGACAAGGCTGATGATCAAGCTCCTGCGCCGAGACCTACCCGGACTACACCGCAGGTTTG